CTTTGCAGGATTATTAACATTATAAATTTCCTTTTCTAGTGATAACACATAAAGACCATTTTCTGAATGTGACGTACCATATAAAACATTATCGAGATAAAATGAACATGATTGGTCTTTAACTCGAAATTCAAAACCTTTGGCGTCCAACGCCGAAATTGAAATGATGTTTTTGGTAATGTTGGGAACACAATAAACATTGTCAAGTTCCAAAACTAGCCCCGTGGGCAAAGACAAACTAAGAGATCCTATGGAAATAGCACCAATCCTTGCTCCATTTCCTACCCGGAGCTCGATCTCTCCCTTCGCTAGCTTCCTAGTGTTCCTTAGTGCCTGTGAATTGGAACAAAGGTGTGAGCCACATCCGGTATCTAATACCCATGAAGGCGAGCTAGTGAAGTTAAAGTCTATAACGTAAATACCTGATGTAGAAGCAACGGTTTCGTTCTTCTTATCTTCCTTGAATTTGAGGCAGTCTCTCTTCCAATTTCCCTTCTTCTTGCAATAGAAGCATTCGGAATCAGACTTAGAAGATGCTACCTTTTTCTCCTTGTTGTCTTTGGTAGCTTTCGGCTTAGGCGGAAAGTTCTTCTTCCCTTTCCCCTTGAAGCCCTTCTTCCTTTTGCCTGCCCATTTGAACGGCTTACCCTTCTTAATCATGAGAATATCATGCTTTCCCTCATCCTTGAGCGTCTGCTCAGCTTGTTTCAACATCCCATGAAGCTCGGTGAGGGTTTTCTCCATGCTATGCATGTTGTAGTTCATCTTGAACTGGTCATAGCCTTTGTGAAGGGAATGGAGAATGATGTCAATAGCCATTTCAATTGAATACCCCGCATCATGCCTTCCCATGTTCTCAAATAATCCGATCATTTTGAGCACATGTGGGCTGACTGGCTCTCCTTTCTTGAGCTTAGTCTCAAGGATCTACCTGTGGGTTTTAAACCTTTCAGTTCGAGCCTGCTCTTGAAACATATTCTGTGACTCAGAAATGATCTCATAGGCTGATTCCTTCTCGAAGAAGGTTTTATGAAGTTCAGGAGACATAGTGGCTAGCATTACGCACTTGACATCCCGATCGGCTACTTGCCATCGGTTAAGGGCAGCTTGAGTTACATCCTCATTGGGAGCGTCGGGAATTTCCTCATCAAGGACATACTCTTTCTGTTCTTGCATAAGAACGATGAGCAAATTCCTTTGCCAATCAAGGAAATTGGTACCACTCAACTTCTCCTTGTCGAGAATTGAGCGTAATGAAAACTGATTGTTTGGGGTTGAAGACATGATTCTACAATTGAAATAATTTTAATGAAAAACCATTCAAAAATACTAAAATAAGATTGAATTTTATTCATGCAAATTTTCAATACTTATTTAACGTCTTATTCACACGTAAAAATTGTCCCTATTTTGTGAAAATAAGGCGATTCCAAGATCCGAAGAAACAAAGAGTGGTTAAGCATGTTTTGCCTTGTCTTAAACACTCAATCTTCTTGGGTAAGCATTGCCTTGCTAATGGCTCAAAGCCACTCTTTGTTAGATAATCGTCGCATCTAATGCATCCTTGACGATGTATCTCTTTTGCCACGGTATGTGAGGACTCCTCACCCATACCGATGAGTTAAACCAAAACCAACGTGCAAACCCGGTGTGCCTTATGCCCCTTGGAGAAGTGATGGCACCTCGCTTTGGCGTAGCCCACCATCACTCTCGTTCGGTTAGTAAGTGTTGTTTTGGAAAGGCAAGTTTTACTCAATATTATTAGGGACCTAGGATTTCTATGTTGGTTGATTTAAGTGAACTTAACTAATCATCGCAACATCAAGAAAACCTAAACATGCATCTAACGAATAATTCACACATATATATATAAGCATAAAATATAAAGCGAAATTATAGATGCATATTGGCAACTAGCATGACCCCTTGAGATCTTCATATCTTCAAAAGGTCTTCATTTGCAATTCAAGGCTTTGTCTTCCAAGATACGCCGTCTTCAAGACTTCACCAAACTATGCAAAAACTAGTGTCTACAACTAGGAATAATCTAATTATTAAAGTACAAAAATACTTAACGGTGCGTAGACCGTATTTAGATTTACAAAAATACATAACGGCACGTAGTCCGTATTTTCTATCCTAGTCGGGTCCCACTAGTTGTCATTTCATAAAACCTGTGAGAGAGAATATATATATTCCATTCATCCATTCACTATTTGTGAATGGCCCATGCAATTTACAAATTAAAACAAAATAAAATGCATTTGAACAACGCGCGCACTAGTAACTAATCTAGGTGGTTAATCCGATTAACACGCCCAATTAAAACTAGTCAAAGTTGTTTAACCGATTATATAAATTACGCCATTAATAATTGAAGCTCCCACTAAATTCCGCATTTCCTTAATTAATCTAATTAATTAAGTCGGTAGCACCCAAACTTGTCAAAATGAAAATTTGCCAATGCCGCTCAAAACCGAGGCCTAGCCTCCTAAAATTTTAATTAAAATAAACAAAATTAATTAAAATAAATAAAACGGAAAAATAAGCAACATCAAGCCTACTACGGCTGGCCACCTCACCGCACCAAGCATACACACACGCCAAGACCACGAACACATGGCCCACGGCACACGGCCGCGAGCTGCTGCCACGGCACAGCCGCGCGTGGCTGCTGCAGCCCGCTTGTGCTGCCGCACGTGTGCTGCTGCCTTGCGTGGCTGCTGCCGCGCGTGTAGCCGCAAGTAAGGTGGTGCTGCCACCTTGGCAGCCACATATGGGCTGCTATGCAGCCCGGCTCGCCAAGGTGATGCAATGCCTCGTTTTTGCATGCCACGACCTCGGGATTTGATCCCTTTTCGCGAGACAACAATAATTAATTTTAGAACTAATTTAGAGAGCAAAATAAAATTTTAAACAAGTCTAACTTAATAAAATTTTCAAAGTGCAAATAACAAAAATAATTCCAAGAACCATTCTTAATTAAATTGGTTTAGCTTGGTGCAACATAAAATTGAGGCAATTTCTCACTTTCAATTTAATCAATTTAAATTAAACTTGAGAATTTGACAAAGTAAAGGGATGTTGGAAAAATATGAACTTTAATGTTGAAATGAAAATTCCAACATCTAAATTTTGTGAATCCTTGAAAATTATATCTTCCAACATGAAGATAACCAAATTTATATCACAAAAATCGAAACTTTATGTTTCCAATCAACTCAAAATGATTAAAACATTAAAGTTTAACACAAAATAACATGGAATTTAGTGGTTTTTAAAGTTTCAATCACTTATCACATATAAAGATTAAATCTTTAACACTTAGGAAGCCTTAAAATTAAAACTTTCACACACAAAAAAGCAATTAGTTTGCAATTATGTGAAAATAAATCAACCTTTAAGCATCAAATACTACCAAGTAAGTGTGCTTTAAGGAGACATAAAAATGCAAAAAATAATGCAAATAATCAACCATATAAACAACTATTTATGCCATTAATTTCAAGGTTAGAAAAGACTTAAAAATTTTCGTCAAAAACGAAAAACCCCTCGAAAAAGGCATTTCTGGTCAGAATTTGGCTAAAATCACAGTCCCCGTTAGGATTAAAACCTTTCCAGAACACGTTTTCCACCCAAAATTCACTAGTCTTAGGCGAAAATCTAGGTTCTGGGCCAAAATCGACATTAAAACGGGATTAAAATAAATACAACCGAGCTACTAATCTAATTAGCAACTTAAACCAGAAAATTAAGCCAAAATAAACCCTGAAAAACATGATTATAAAAATAAAAGAGCGGGGCTCCGATACCGCTGTTAGGGTTTGGTGAGTCCGACTCACCGCGGAAACAAACCCCGACCCAAGGAACCACTCGCAATAATTAAATTCATAACGCATAAATAAATAATCACAAAGAAAAGATAACGAATCTTACCCTCGAAGCGAGCTTCGCCCAAAAACTGGGGCTCTTACTTGAAAGCTACGAGCAAGTCAAGCGCCGCGCCTCCGACGGTATCCACCCACAAAAGGGCGAACACAACTTTAAGGTCTACTACCTAGGGGTTAGCGAGGTCCGACCAAAACCCGAGTGCTATATGAGTTTAAGAGTTTTTCCAATATTATGGAATGCTCTTTTTAACTCCCACTCAAGCATCATTTCCAATGCCCAAAGTTGGGTATTTATAGGGAATGATGGAGTATGAAAATCTCTCCCATCAATGTGGGACAATGAGATTTTCACATTTTATTTTAAAGCTAAAATTAAATTATTAAGCAAACTAGTAATAAATCAACAAGTGTCAAGCATACATGAGAGAGTAGGTGAGGACCACTTGGAGATGGGGACCAAACTTACTCCCCACTCTCTCCCTCACCTTGTGCCACATGGCAATTCCACTTACTCCCATATTCCAACCTTCCCCTTATTCACGGCCCTATGGCTCGAGCCAAGCCATGAGCCAAGCCCCAGCCCGGCCCGAGCCCAGCCCGCACCTGCTGCTGCTGTGGCGTGGTGCGGCTGCGGCTGCGGCTGCTGCTGTGCCTAGCCGCGGCTAGCCGTGGCTGCCAGCACGGTGCGCTGGCTTGTCTTGCCCCTAGCATTCGGATGCTCGGGGCACTCCGAAGCTAGGGGTATTTTCGGGAATATTGTTGATTTATTATTATTTTGGGCGTCTCGTCTTTTATCATTTAGACTCGACTTCCGACGATCGGTTTCGACGCTCTAAGCTCGAATTACCGACGTCTAATTATTTAACACTCGGGTGACGAATTAATTTCTTCCGAATTAATTCGTCGAGTTGGTTCGCATATATTTGCTTGGGTGTGACCCGAAGGGTTCAGTCAAGATTAAGCTGTAATATTAATTATATTAATATTACTGATCGGAAGCGGCCTCCACCCAGGCATTCCGATCACTTGACCTTACTGAATATATTAGCTTTCTAATAATTCTGAACCTGCTATCTGAATAATACACTTGTTCGAAGGACACTATTCCTTTCACCCGTGAAAGTCACACCACTTACTCGTATCACGACTCCTGTTTACCATCCTTGGAGGCCTCTGCCACTTATCATCAGCCTTATTTACGCTGAATATGTGTGATCTGGAATGGTTTAGTGGGGTATACTGATCAAACTTCCCAGGCCTTGGCCCTCTCCTTGGATCGGACCTTCTTAGTCCCACTGCCCTGTCCGCTTCTCTGCGATTTTGCTCAGCTCTGCTTGGTTGGTCCATTCCGGGTGTGTTCTCTGCCCGGGTGACCTCTGCCCGCTTAACTGAGTCACCTGTTTCTTTCCTACCCAGCATTGCTCTGTCAGTCTCGTCTGCTTTGATAAACTCATGCGCTTTACCCAGCGCTTCAGCGAGCGTTTTGAGGCTCTTACGCCCCATATATGCTCTGAATGGTGACCCTGGCAGTAGGCCACTCTGCATTGCTAATAGCGCTACTTCTTGGCTCATATTTGGAATGGTTGTTGCCTCCTTGTTGAATCTGGTGATGAACTCCCTCAGAGGCTCATCCTTTCCCTGAACCAGGGACATCATCTCGGTTGTCATCTTGGTTCTGTCCACCAAGTTTATGAAATGCTCCATGAACATTCTCTTCAGCTGGTTGTACGAGTATACTGAACATTTGGGGATGGCGTCGTACCATTCCGCTGCCAGCCCCTCTAAAGTTGGTGGGAAAACCTTACACCAGACTAAGTCCGTCATGGTGTAGAGTACCATATGATTCTCGAAAGCTGATATGTGGCTTTTGGGTGTTGTGGTTCCATTGTACTTGCAGCTCGGCAGCTTCACCTTCTCCATGGGTTCTTCTAGAATCTCCCGGCAAAATGGGGAATCATCTAGAACAACCTGGATTCGCGCTCGTTTGTCTCTCTCTGGGCTGGGTCCTCGCTCTGCGGCCGGTGACCTGTTGCGAGGGACCCGCTTCTCTGGGCTGATTCAAGAGGGGGTTATTTCCTCCATGCTCCATTCCCGATTCAGGTTGCGAGCTTCCAGCTCCAATACCTTTTTTCTTTGCTGAATAAGCTCTTTCTGCTTTGGGGTGAGAGTTGAGACTTCCGGCTTTTCGCTGCGGGCTCCGCAGCTGCTGTTGTCGGTGATGGGCTTACCCCCTTACCCATATTGGTTAGGATTGTTGTCATTGCAGCCAGCTGCTCCTTGCTGCACTTAGAGAGGTTCTGCAAAATGGCTGGCATGTTTACGGGCTGCGGTTTCTGGGTTGCAGGTGCTGAGACAATAAGCTCATTGTTCGCGCCTGTTAACGGCATTCCGTACTTGAAAATAGTGTTGGATCCTATCGGATCTACTAGTTTCGCCGCTGCTTTAGCAGTGGCAGATGTCGATCCGATGGGGTTGGATTTCTACGAGATAGTCGATTTGGTGTTTCCGGTGGATCCTTTTGGATCGCTGGTTACTGGGGGTGTTTTTTGTGGTGTTTGGATGGTCTCATTAGTTTTGGAAGTGGGTGTTTACACAGTTTCTTCTCCGGCCATGGTGGTTAATTAACTATTCCCTAGCTCAGTTGGTGAACCTCAGGTTAGATGATCCAATACCCTCCTTCTAGCGCCAATTGTTCCAGGTATGGATCCAAGGTTCTGCTGGGAAAGCTGGGTCCCGTTAACAACCTACACACAGTAGCACACGTAAACTGCCCTCAGGGGTGGCTCGAGGAACCCCCCTCAGAAGCTTAAGTTAGAGAGAGAAAGTGTACTTAGAGAGATATGGAAAGTGTAATAACTTGAGTGTCTGACCTCTTTTCCGCTGTACTTTACCCTCTATTTATAGGCGTACTATCTCCTTCGTGGAGAGCTTAGCCTGGTCAGCCCTGCGGGCTGACTCTGCCGCGCTGACGAGCCCTCCTTTAGTCGCTTATTCAGCGGTGAGTGCGCACCCTGGGGGCTGGGCGGTAGTTCAGCGGGAGCTATCCTATACAGTTGCCGAAGACCGCCTCATCACAAACCGCCCTTCTCAAATCTCAGTGACAACCTCCACAATCTTAGCGAATGTCGTCGAAGACCGCCCATCTCGTGTTATCTTCTCAAATCTTGGTGACAACCTCCACAATCTTAGCGAATGTCGTTGAAGACCGCCCATCTCGTGCTATCTTCTCAAATCTTGGTGACAACCTCCACAATCTTAGCGAATGTCGTTGAAGACCGCCCATCTCGTGCTATCTTCTCAAATCTCGGTGACAACCTCCACAATCTTAGCGCATGTCTTTGAAGACCGCCTCATCACGAACCGCTCTTCTCGCATCTTGGTGACAACCTCCACAATCTTAGCGAATGCCATCGAAGACCGCCCATCTCGTTCCATCTTCTCAAATCTTGGTGACAACCTCCACAATCTTAACGAATGTCGTTGAAGACCGCCCATTTCGTGTTATCTTCTTTAATCTTGGTTACAACCTCCACAATCTTAGCGAATGCTGTCGAAGACCGCCCATCTCGTGCTATCTTCTCAAATCTTGGTGACAACCTCCACAATCTTAGCGAACGTCGTTGAAAATAACTTTACTTGAAGTCATCCTCAGTTGTTGCGATAAATTCCGAAGAAAACTACCGAAGACCAACGCTTGTCGATCTTTAAAGCTCGCTTGAAATTTGCTTCAGGCGGTGCGTCGGCGCTTCTGTTGCTTGTAAACCAGTATGTCGGTGCTTTGAATTGTGAACCTGTATGTCGGTGCCTCTGCTGTTTATGAACCAGTATGTCGGTGTTTTGAATTGTATGAACCATTATGTTGGTGCCTTTGCTGAGCCAATGCTTAGGCGCTTTAAGCTAAGTAAGACAATTGTTTGTCAGGTCGATCACATATTGCGATTGTAATCAAGCCGACTACTTAATCATGTCAAATTGCTTATAAGGGCTACTGGCGTACCAAGGAACCCGAAATTGCTGTTCCGAGAGGCTTCGAGCTCTGTCGCTGCTGAAATATCTTTGGCGCCGCGATTTTGCTCTGTCGCCAGACGCTGGGATCTAGCACCAGGCGCTGAAATCTATTGCTAGACGCTGGATGCTGTCGTCTGGCGCTGGAGTCAGGTCTTCCCTATTCTGCTTTTTCTGCCGTTGTTGCTCGGTTTCGCTCCGAATTTTGAGCTTGGTCGTTCCCTTTCAACCAAATCCGCTCAAGTATTTTGTAAATTAAAGCTCTTCATCTCTAATTTACCAATCAATGTAACTCCTCTTATCTTGGAGAAATCTCTTGTGTCATATTCGCGGTTTTTTCGAAAAAATTCGGGAATGTCCTCGCTTGCTGGGATGCACCTGCATTTATATCTTTGATCATAGGACTTTGCTTATCTTTCTTTCGGATTGACCTAAGACTTAGTTTTGACTCAACTCATTGACTTGACATGACTCAAGGTATAAACTTGACTCGCTGTGATTGACTCGAGGTCGACTCGACTCGATGTGACTTACGACATGACACATGTGTACATGAATTGTGTGTGCATGTGATCGTGCGAATCCAAAATGCAAAAAAGTAAAAAATTTCTGTCATTTTTGTATAGGGTACAGACTTTCTCCCGAAAAAGAAAGACACGATTAAGAATCGAAGTGAAGTTTTTTTTTTTTGGAAGGTAAGAAAAGTATATTGATAAAAAAAAACTATACAAAATAAAAGTACAATCCTGACAAGCAGGAACCCAAAGCTACACAAGCCTAAGAAAAATATAGGCAAACAACCACCCTGGTTTTAAGTTCAGCCTTACCACCTTCTAGGAAGGGTGTAAGACAGGAACAAAAAACCAAAACCAGGTTAAGGAGATCCCTGGTACCTTCTAGGAAGGGCTCAGGGAAAACCAGACCTGCAGAACAAGAAAACCTACACCCAACACCCCATACAACCAAACTAAACATCAAAAACAGCACAAGTTAAATGCAAGACTTGAGGTGCTGCAACCATTTACAGTCTTCAATCTTCCAGGTGTGATTAATCATCTGCTGACTTCTAGTCACTACTTCTCTCTTTACACCCTTAGAAATCAATCAGGCCTGAGAACAGCCTTATACCAGAGAGCATGATTCCTAGCCATCCAGATATTGTAGACAACTGCAGAGCAGCCAAACTCACTTTCTGCTGAATACAATTTTTACCTCTTTGTTTCCAATTCTTCTAATTATTAAGAGAATACACAAGGGAACTAGGAAGTCCAAGCCAGTGAGCAACATCATCAATAACTTTTACACTATAGCTGCAAACAACGAACAGATGACTACTGGTCTCAGCGTCCTCACCACACAGAAGACGGTCACTAGAATCACATACCCCAAATTGAACCAGTTTGTCTCTAGTTCTGAGTCTATCCAAAGCTGAGAGCCAATTAATAAAGGTATGCTTGGGAATATTGAAGTGATTCCAGACCCAGTCATACCAACTAACTTTTTCCATGGTACCCTAAAGCCACTTGTAACCATCTTTGATTCTGTACTTTTTACTTAACCAATTCTCAGTCTCAAATCCCTCTCTTAGCTCATCTTTAGTCTTGTATAACAATTTCCAGGCCCAACCAGCATCTTTCTTTGGTTTATAATCCCACCAATCCTCATCTTTGATATAGACAGCATGAACCCATCTGACCCATAAAGAGTCAGATTTCTTTGCAATTTTCCAGACATAGCTTCCCAGAGCAGCTTTGTTCCAGTTTCTACATTGCCTAATACCTAAACCACCAAAACTTCTTGGGTCTGCACACCAATCCCGGGAAATTGGGGGAGACTTAGACAGCACAGCATTACCACTCCAAAGAAAAGCTCTACATAGCTGAGTGATTCTATCCACCACTTTCTTAGGTAACAAAACACACTAAGCCCAATATGTATGCAAACTCATGAGAACAGAATTAATAAGGGTAACTCTAGCAGTATAGGATAAGTTTCTGCTACTCCAGCATTGCAATCTCATCAACATTTTATCAATCAGGTTATCATAATCACTCACTTTCAGGTATTTGGCATTCATAGGGATACCAAGATACCTAAAAGGCATGTCACCAAGGACAAACCCAGAATTCATCAAAATACTATCCTGAACCTGTTGTTGAACATTCCCAAAATAAATTGCAGTTTTATCAAGGTTTGCTTGAAGCCCTGATCTTTCCTCAAAGGTTTTTTAAGCTCTAATAAGGAGAGTAACAGACTCAGTGTTACCATAAGAGAAGAGCATCAGATCATCAGCAAAAATCAAATGATTAAGAGCCAAAATGAGCACATCTCTGGTGAAATTTGAATTCTTTCTTCTTACCAATTTTCCTGAGAAGCCTGGTTAGGTACTCCATGACAATGACAAACAAGAGAGGGGACATAGGATCACCCCTGCCTCACACCCTTTCTCCGTTTGAAAAAGCCATAAGAACCACCATTGAGCAACAAAGAGAAAGAAGGAGTGGTCACACACTGCATGATCCAAGAGATGAACTTGGTGGGAAAGTTAAGAGCACTCAGCATCTCATGAATAAATTTCCAATTAACATAATCATAAGCTTTCCTCAGATCAACTTTTATAGTTTTACATCTAGGAGGCTTTTTCTTATTACTATAAGATTTAAGCATATCCTGACAAATCAGAATATTATCCAAGATAGATCTCCTAGACACAAAGGCACCTTGACAGCCATCAATCAGCTCAGGTAACACTTCCTTCAATCTATCACAAATCATTTTAGAGATGATCTTGTAAACCACATTGCAGCAAGCAATTGGTCTAAATTGGTTGATCCTATTAGCATGCTCAACTTTAGGGATCAAAGTAATGGTGGTAGCATTAATTTGCTTAAGGAGCTTACCTAAACTAAAGAAGTCCAGGACAGCTTTAGTGATATCAGGACCAACAATGCTCCAGGTAGCCTTGAAGAATTTGCTGGAAAACCCATTTGGTCCAGGAGCTTTGTCATCTTCAATACTCCATAAAGCTCTCTTAACATCTTGCTCACAAAACTCCCTGCAAATATTGCTGCCCTTGTCTTCAGAAAGCACTTTACCTTCAGAAATCACTCCATGATGGATGTTACCAATCATATGAGTCTTAGTACCCAGAAGACCTTGATAATACTAAAGAAAAGCATCATACACCTGCCCTGGATCTGAAATAACCACCCCCTCATCAGTTACAATAGAGTAAATGTTATTCTGAAGTCTTCTCTTCCTGATCATAGCGTGAAAGAAAGTTGTGTTCATATCACCATCCTTGAGCCAATGAACTTTAGCTTTTTGTTTTAAGAAGTTAAATCTATCAGAGTGAGTTTTAGAAAACTGTATCCTAGCCAATCTTTCTTGACTTATTAATTCTTCATTACCAGGATCACTTTGCAGCTTTATCTGGATATCTTCAAGGTGTTTCTCAGCAATTGCATCATCAACCTCCACACAAGAGAATCTACCCATCTTAGATTCTTTCAAAAACTGCTTCACCTCTTTCAGCTTCCTCACACACTGGAAAATAGGAGTACCAGAGATCATTTTACACCAAACATCCTTAACCCCAGGTAGAAATTCTGGAGATTCCACCCATATATTCACAAACCTAAAAGGTTTCTTAGTATGATTACCAGAATCAAACAGATTAATCACACAAGGGCTATGATCCATTAACCCCTCAGGGAAAAAAGTAACTTCAATATCAGCAAATTTTAGCATCCACTCATTATTAACAATAACCCTGTCAATCTTTGAGCAAACTCTATCCTTGCCTTCCTGCTTATTATTCCAAGTGTAAAACATTCCTCCTGTAGCCCAATCAGTGAGACCAGCACTCCTTAGACAAGATCTAAAAGGCTTAACCTCAACTAAGGACACATTGCTCCCTATTCTGTCCTTCAGATTCAGAACACTGTTAAAGTCACCTTGCAAAATCCAAGGGCCTGTAATCTTATTACTGAGCTCAATAATCTGCTCCCAAAGCTGCACCCTGGCTCCAGCAGTATTCAAACCATATACCTTAGTACAATCAAAGCTCAAACCAGTAGCTTTGTGAGCTACATAAACATGAATTAATTGAACTTCACATCTTACCACAATCACATCAAAAAACTGAGATAACCAAACCACCCAAATTCTACCCCCTTTATGATAGGGATAGTTAGCACATACAGACCAGTCACTTCCAAGTCTATTAAACACATCACCAAACTTCCCAACCTTCACCTTTGTTTCAAGAAGTCCAAATAAACCCACTCCATGGTGTCTAATAAACCATAGGACATCACAGAGCTTGCTAGCTTTATTTAGACCTCTTATATTCCAAAATCCAAGCTTATCCATGGTAAGAGTGAGAACATTCTCCCTCTTCCAGGACACTGAATCTGTTACCACTACTACTAATTAAAATCACACCTGGCTGCACTAACTGAGGTTTTTGACAAGCATCATCAGTCTGCAAATCACCATTCAAGGTACTTGTCCTGCTCCCAGCATTCTGATTCTAAGTATCAGGTTTTTGAATTGGCTTCCATACTCTTTGTGGTTTTTTCTTTTGTTTATTAATCTTTTGATTTTTCTCAGCTTGCAGCCCCTCCATTTTCCTAGCTTGCACTTTATGATTAGGACACTGAGCATCATCATGTCCAATCCCACCACACACCCTACACACCTTAGGCTTCCATTCATATTTCACCTCCCGCTTAACTATGTTACCAAGCTCATCCAGGAACTCAATGAGTTCTGGTAACTCAACATTGAACTTAACCTCCACCATAATCCAGGCATACTCCAGTCTTTCCTTAGTAGCAGTTGCCTTATCAGTCTTAATAGGCTTCCCAATCAGTGAAGCCAGCTTCATTAGAGCCTTTTGTCCCCAATATTTCAGGTTCAAACCAGGTATCCTCACCTAAATAGGGACTAAATCCACAGGTTCATCAGTTAGGTGCATTCCCACCACCCATTTTTTCATTATTACAGGCTTATTATCAAACCATACAGGTCCTGAACCCAATACTCTATCCCTTGCATCAACAGTCTTGAATCGAACAAGGAAAATCCCATTTGCCATTAAAAAAACCTTATCTACACAAAATTTACCCCACATTCTTCTAACAAACCCATTAACAATAGGTAATGGTGGCTTGATTCTAATCACATGGAAAACGATTGCAGAATTCCAAAAATAAATCTCTGGTTGCACATCCTCAAAATTAATTTAAACCTTATCACAACTATCCCTTACAGAGTCATTCCTCCCCTCAGAAAGGTCTACACCCTCATCCCTAGTCCCCTGAAATAAGCTCCCCCTCCAATTCAATCGAGCAACAGAATTAGAGATTAGGGATTGAAAAACAGAGGATTGCAAATCGGGGTTCTCAAAAATTGGGGAAAATGCATTCATATTACACCTAGAGTTCTCAAGCATCAAAATAGGGGTTGGATTATCAAAATTTAATACACTATCACAACAAGCAGCAGTACGAAGCTCATCATCAATGGCGGATGAAGAACGAATTACCTGAAGCCAATTGTTAAACTCCTACTTATGCTCACCATAGTCTTCTACAGTTACCTCCTTCATAGAGCTAGAGTTCTCCATTACCTCATCAAGCTAGCTCTCAACTGAAACGTCCTCAAAAGCAATGCTCTGTTCTTTCCTCTTCGTTTAGTTCCTTGTTTTGGGTCCAGAATTCTGCCTTGCTTTCTGCTTTTTCTTCGATTTAGATCCTGAACTCTTGCTTCCCTTACCCTTCTTCCTCTTTTCCGTTGAAATCGGCCTGAAAATCGAAGTTCAAATTTGTGGGTTTCAATCGGATTTTCAACTTTCTCTCTCTAGTTCATGAGACTTTCTCTCTCTAAGTTTTCACTTTTAACTTTCATTTGATTCAATTAGCTTCAAGTAAGTTTTTTTTTTTGAAGATGCATGTTGAATGAGCTTTGTCAAATGTTGTTTGATACTATCTCTCAATGTGCAAGGATTAATCCACCCTAGGCTATATCAATGATTGACTCAATGATGAAAGTATTTGGGTAACTTAGGCACGGAGGCTAAGCACTTCATAGTTTGTGATGCAATGACAATTATGATTGATGAGTGATGTTGATATGACAAGGCATGCTTCAACGCCGTGTTAAGATTCCATGACAAAGGGTTCCTAAGGGAAGGTATATTTGGTCATGTATCTGTGATGTGTGTGAAAGTGATTCTAAAGTTAGGCCTCAAGGGCTAAGTGTGTGGAAAAAGATATTATTTCTAGAAGAGTCAAATGATGGTGACTCTTAGGTTAGGTAAGCTAATGATGTAGGGATCAAGCCCCCAAGTTTAGCTCTAAGTAGATAGGGATGAGCACTGGAGATCCCTTGATATGATCATGGTGTGTGAATGTGAATATGAATGCATGTTTATTATGGTCGCACCTCGATGAGAGGTTGCCTACGTATCCGTTAGGAATCAGGTCGAACGTAGCTCTAGACGAACCTCACACGAGTGTGCATACCTCAAAAAGGTCTTTTGAAGGGTTGTAACGTGGTTAGGCTAAAGGTTATAGAAGAAGGGGATAAAAGCTCAAGACCCTCGATAAGCCCCCAAGGTGTGCAACTTTGCTATTGAATATTTGTATTTTCATGCTTGAGGTTTTCTACTCTTTTTTAGCTCTTTCTTTTGCTTTAGCATTTATTTCATTTTTATAAGTGTGGCAATCCCGATCATGCGGTCTTCACTCACTTGGCATTCATGTTTCTCAGGCACAGTGCCAAGCACTAGATAAGAAACGCAATCTAAGACGTTTTCATATCAAAGACATTGGAACACTTGACCTTTTTGTACACTTTTATTTATTTTTGCTATTTTATTTATTTTGATATTTTGAAATCACTTAAGCTTTTGAAATTTCATAAGTTACACACCTTCCCATCCCAAGGTTAGGTAGATATGGGTTGAAGAAGAAAGGTTTATCGTTAGACGAGGCTCAAACTGGTTTATCAAAAAAGGATTGTATATTTTAAGGGTGAAAGGTAATATGATGTGGCTACAAGGGGTGCCTCAAATCATTGGTATACCTTGTGCTTAGTTTGACATGGATATTTTTTTTTAATGGAATGTAATGAAATGATCATATGCAAGAAAATAAATGCTCATTTTATTAAAAGGAAAAAGAAAGAATCTACAAAATTAATCTAAGGGGAATAAAAAGGTGCCTATGCTATACTTATTAAGGAAAGGGTAAATAAAAAAGAAATAGAAAAAGAGGTCACGAAATCTTGTCGTTGAAGCTCGCCACTTGTCTTGTGTTGTTTGCTTTATCATTACTCGCTCTTCTTGTTAACTGGAGGCATGGGAAGCTTGTTATTATCAATCAAATGTTGGATAGCCTCATTTAGCTTCCAATAGCTCTCAGTAACATGACCCCTACCTTGATGGTACTTGCAGTGTGCATCTGGATTTCAACTAGGCAATCTCTTTTCAGGTGCGGGATCTTGAATAGGTCCAATGGGAGTAATGAGTCCTTTGGCATGGAGTTGATCGAAGGCAGTATCTGTTGGGGTTTGGTGAGTCCGACTCATCGCGGAAACAAACCCAAAAACAAGACCGCACTCGCAATAAATAAAACCATAAACATAATTAAATTAATCACAAGATTAAGATAAGCTAATTACCTTTGACGCGTGCTTCGCTCCAAAATGAGCTCTTACTTGAAAGCTTCAAGTCCCGCTCACACGGAGACCACCAACGAAGTCCACCCGCACCAACAAAACCGACTAGGTCCAATGTCTTGGGGTTAGCAAGACCCGACCAATAAAACCCGAGTAATTATATTGAGTTCAAAGGTTTTCACTAATTGTGATGCCTTTTTCAACTCTTACTCAAGCATCATTCCCAATGCTCATACTTGGGTATTTATAGGAAATGATGGGAGTATCATTTATTCTCCCATCAATGTGGGATAAAATAAAATTAATAATCAAGCTAGTAATAAATCAACAAGTGGCAAGCTCATGTGTGTGCGGGCTGCTGCTGGCCTTGTGCCTTGGCCAGCGCTGCTAGGCAGCAATCAATGGCCTAGCCATGCTGCTGCTAGCTGTGGCGAGCTGGCGCGCCTAGCGTGCTAGCTGCTGCAGCTTGTTGCGGCATGGCTTGCTAGCCATTGCGCGCACAAGGCTGCGCCTAGCATGCTAGCACGCACTAGGCAGCGCCTAGCCTTGCGATGCTAGCATGGGTGCGCTAGCACGCACCAGCCAGCCTAGGATCGGCGTGGTGCACATGCTAGCCACCATTCTTGGCCATACGGCCTTAGCACTCGGTTTTCTTGGGAATTCCGATGCTAGGGGTATTTTGGTCTTTTGTTGATTTATTACTATATCTCGTCTCGTCTTTCACTATTTTTCGACTCGACTTCCGACGCTCGGTTTCGACGCTCTAAGCTCGAATTTCCGACGTCTAAATATATATTACTCGGTCGACTCATTAATTCCTTCCGAATTAATTCGTCAGTTCGGTTTGTTGAATGCTTGGGTGTGACCCTAAGGGTTCAGTCAAGATTAAGCTGTAATATTAATTATTCATTAATATTACTGATTGGAAGCGGCCTCTACCCAGGCATTCTGATCACTTGACCTCACTAAATATATTAGCTTTCTAATAATTCTAAACCCACAAACGGAATAGTACACTTGTTCGAAGGACACCATTCCTTTCAATCTCCCACTTGTCCTTCCGGACAAGTGCGCATTTTGTGTACAGCCTTTTTCCTATGTCGCTTAATGTCTCTTCATGAACTATAAGGTAAGATTTGTTTTGTCATCCTTATTACGTCCAGAAGTGTTTCTCGATTCCGAGTCCGACTGTCAATAAACAGATGATTTCTAAAATCCATCCGAGCACGGCCATGAATTTTACAGTCTCGCTCTACGAGAGGCCTTGTATACAACAAAGACATCTTCCCTATTTTAGTAGGGGGACATTCCCAGTCTTGTAATGTAGCTCCTCTTACTGAGAGGACCTAGTCGCCCGAGTGTTGCCGTTATAATCCCCTATTACGGCAGACGTTTGACAACATCAAAGCGAACTAGTACTCAAACAAGAGAACTCACAATACTCATGGTCGAGGAAATAGGTTCCGATAGCCATAATGAGAAGTATACTTATGACAAATTTTTAATTTCTTAAAGTATTCTCATAGGTCGATCCAGTATGGTTCTAAACCAATACCTGTGCAAATGATTTATGACAATCATGTCCTTGTAGCACATGAAACGGTGCTATAAATTAGACTACACACTAATCTCAATTGGTCATTAATCGTCTATCGTTTAAATGACCTTGATTAGGGATAATTTTCGAT